TAACATCCTGAACACGTTAGTTCTACAGACTGTTTGCCAAATCACACTGGTCATCAACACCTCTGTGATGGCTTATGGCCTCTATAGGTCTACCAAATTCCAGGAACATTCATCCAGCAATCTGCCTACTGAGGAAAAGTCCAAAGTGTCATCTGTAGGGAGAGAGAAAGAAGAGGTATCGTCAACTCAAGACAGTCGAGGAGATTACAAACCCAACGAACAACATCCCAACGACGGGGTTATTTCTCAGAGTGGATCAAACAGGGCGGGGTCACAGGGGGTGAAGAGAGAAAATCAAGTTTCCAAAGACGGAAAAGTTGCTGGGCCGTCGACAAAATACAAGAGAACTATTCGGGTAGTAAGTGGCGTATCTTCCCTTTTTATCATTTGCAACACGCCTCTCTTGGTGGCAGTGTACATGAAACGACTCGTCCCGGGTTTTGATTTTGGGCTCAAACACCACAGCGAGTTCGCCCTTGCGGTCAACATTGTGTTCCTCAGTACAGCAATCAATGCTGCTTCCAACTTCTTCGTGTACACCGCGTTCAACAGAAAGTTCAGGGGTCAATTACGGGGACTTTGTGGCCCAAACAGGAAGTTCTAGCGGTCAAGTCTACTGTCACCTATTGTTACACGTCAGTTGAGGACATCTGAATTGTAAGTGCTTGATTAGTGCAAAAGCGTAATACAGCTAGCAGATAATACGGTCGCACAAGGGGGCTATACCGAAAAATGCTGTTTTGAGAAAATCGAAGGTACAGTTTTTGCCCCTTGTTCAGTTTTTAAAAAAACGTGAAGGACAGTTTTCTCTATAACCAAACAAATATATACACACCAATGAAATCAAACTTCTCCAGTAGGAAGGGCAATGCCCACTTTTGGTTTAGGTCAAGATTTCTGGAAACCCCCGAAATCTGGGTTAGCCCGCTTGTCCTTAAAAATGAGGGTTTTTTTAACGACGGACAGGCTGGAAGAGAACTTCTGTCTTTGCTGTGTGCACTGTGAGTCCAAAGTTCTCATGTACATTTATTAAAAAGAGATCAATGCAGTTTTGCAAGCCGGATTCTTCATGAGCAAGCAATGCACAATCATCGGCAAATAGCCGTCCACAGACATTTATCACGCGTGTGTTTATCCTTGCCTGCAGACTGCGGGAATGGCGTGTATGACTTTGCAATAAATTCTAATGCTCTCTTTTGAATTTGAACAAATATTCATTGTTTAAAATATATTATACAATATGTAATGCTCGTGTGTTGCCTCCAAGAAAGTCAATATTTCGTGGGTTGTACTTCGTGCAGCTAGTTTCTCGACTTGACAAAGCGGTATTTTTTTTAGATTGCATAAGTCATACCTGTACATTATTCATTGTTCAAATTGTGGACGTGGCAGTGTTCACCTCTAGGAAAGACAATAGTCTTAGCGTCATTCATACTCGGTGGTTCCTTTTACCGCCCTGTCTCTTTTGCAAGACCGCTGATAGATTGACCGATGGCCTCTTGTACAATCACAATGCTTTGCTCTCTGTGGGGAGACAGAGCGACATCCCCGGCGTAGGTGGTGTAGCGGTGAGGTGCTTCGCTGTCGCACGAGGAGACCCAAGTTTGATTCCCGAGTGGGGAGAATTTTTATCGAGTATCTCGATCTGTCTGCTGGGTTGGCCCCTGTCCCCGTGGTTTTAATAGTTTTATGCACCCCGCATAATTTAGCAAAATTTGATCATTTTTTTGCATAGTTTCTGATTATTTTACGTTATCTTTCTTTGTTAAAATAAACAGACCCGCATAATTTCACATTTTTGGGCTCAGTTTTCATAATTCCAGAATTTTTCTTGCATAAAACGACGGGGACAGATCGACCCTAACAAGGATGGTCGGAAGCCTGCTTTCCAATTTTAGGATCTAAATTGTGTTGAAGGAGACGTAAAAGCACCTACTTAAAAAAGGACGACATCTGTCAGCAAAGAGAGTCTGAAGCGTAGCTCGCCACACCTTGGATACAATTAAATAGGCCTAGATTTACATGTTGAATCGCTCACCTTGGGGGTTGATTGATTCAAACAGATGGCCCAGCCGGGCACTATATATACTCCCCATCAACACAATGTGGGTATCATAGAAGACGGACTGCTCCCATCACCACCCCGCTTGTCAGGGCTGAAGTCTGCGCAAAAGGGAGGAAGAATGGAAGGACCACAAAAGTGTTTGATGTGAAGCTATGAATGATAAACAGACGCCATACGTCCATGTCGGCTAAGGTGTTGGTGTGGGAGGTCACATGACCGAACTCTATAGTTAGTTTTCGTAAGGTTTTACGGCGCTCGCAACTGCATAAGGTCATATGAGCGCCAAGAGAATCAGGCTTATTCTGCTCACCACTCTAGCCTCAACAGCATAAAGTCTGCTTCGACTATCAAGGCACCCCGGAAATAGCGGGTCACAAGAGAGTGACAAACATACAAAAGAAGTAGAGGCAAAATGACGATAGTAAGGATGAGGAAAGAAAAAGCAGCAGTTCCCCCAATGTTGTTCCGGCACAGCATGAGCATGCCATTCATAATTCAGCCCATTTACAATTCTACTATGCATAAGACAAGAACATCATGTTAAAATCCCCCCTTTGGGAATGGCCTAACTAAAGACACTTCAGTCAGTAGCACTGCCCTGGTAGGGGATGAACTCTGAACCCAGAGAGGGAAGGCTCTACATAGCATTTCTTCCCTTATACCCAGTGCCAAATGGGGGACCGGTTCTCTGACATCAAACGATCGCCTAACTCGCTTACTTACTTACTTACTACCCTTTACGTCATCTGGCGTTCAGGGCAGCAACAAAGGATCTCCAGCTCTGTCTGTTTTGGGCCATCTTGGTCAGCGTTCCCCATGAATGATTCCAGGGCTTCATTTCAGACTCTACTGTGCGTCTCCAGGTCACTTTGGGTCTGCCCCTTTTGCGACGTCCTTCGGGTGTCCAGTGGAGGGCAGTCTTCACAACAGAGTCTGGTTCTCTTCTCAGAACATGTCCAACCCATTTCCATCTTCTCCTTTTTGTTATGGTGGTCATGTCCTCTTGCCTACATTTTCGTAACAGATCTGCGTTGGAAATCTTGTCGGGCCAGAAGATTCTGAAGATTTGGTGTAAGCTGGTTGTATGAAAGCCTAACTCACTGCCTTGATGAAAACAAACGCGTTTGTTTGGAAGGTCACCATTGGCTTCGTTCTGTGGTACCACGGTGGTCGCTTCTCACTCTCAATCAATCTAGTTAGCCCGCCCCCCTTTTCCCCCCATCAAACCGAACCTATTGAGCCAATGGGCACTGGGTCTTAGAATCCACTACGACCACAGAGAGGATGAAGGCACCACATCACACACAATGGCAAGACTGAGGGAAGCTGGTGTCTCTAGAGGGTCGGGGAGAGACAGCAACCTGCGTGGAAAAGCCAGAAGAATATCCAACTAGCTGATAGCTGGCACGATCAGCAGGCAGACCCTTTAATGGATCCTGGAGAGGAGGGAGGAGCAGCTATGGCATTGTGCCGCCTGCAATGACGCATAATCTCCAACCAAGCAAGTAAGTGAGTGAGTGAGTGAGTGAGTGAGTGAGTAAGTAAGTAAGTGAGTAAGTGAGTAAGTAAGTAAGTAAGTAAGTAAGTAAGTAAGTAAGTAAGTAAGTAAGTAAGTAAGTAAGTAAGTAAGTAAGTAAGTACGCGAGTAAGTAAGAATCCACTATGATGCAAATAAAAGCAGTCATACAAAATAAAGCAAGAATAAAACGGTTATTCATGATCTCATTTATTGGAAAAATAGTTGCACACATGTAGGGGCCTACAAGTTTTAGAATCTCATTAATAAACACGAATATGTGGATTTTTGGGCAAACAAACTACCACAATCTTTTTTCCCACACATCATCCTCAACAGCAGTACTGAACTAGCTGCCACAGAAATGATAAGAAAATTTCTTACATTCTTTATTTAATATTTCTGCCCGGTGGCCAACTTCCCAATGTTCACTTGTTTTCTGCCATAGCATAAAGAAAAAGATAAAAAAGAGAAGCAAGACTCACAACAAATGTCAAGATTAACGTTAACCAAACAGCCATGGGGAGACACCTTATTGTAAAACGGAGTTAGAAATCACTTTGTAAACATTTTAAAAATATGATACCTTTTGTATAACATTTTACATTCATTAAAAAAAAGAATTAGACAATTAATTTCTGACTTTTACATGATTATTTGTGCGTATATATATTATATATTTGTCTGTTTTTAAAATGCAGGTGTTTTGCGCCCCCATTGACACAGTTTAGGTCATTCAGGAGGTGGGCTGTAGGACCCTACTTGTAAATGTCAGCCCAGGCTGAAAGAGATACAATGTCCCGGTAGACAGGCGGAGATACTCAATAAAAACTCTCCCAACACAGGAATTGACCTCATGTCTTTTGAATGCACTAGCGATCCACCTCAGACCACAACACCATGCTAGTTTTGTGCTATAATTTATCGTTAAATGCTGTACTGTAGACATATATATATATATATATATATATATATATATATATATATATATATATATCACCCTTTAAACTCATTCCAGAAAATAAAAGTTCTTTTCAGATCAACTTCACATCCAAAACTTTAGATAGATCTACATTCATGGCAGCTTTGCAAACATAATCTTTCAATTTTATTTATACATATATTTATGCAATTATGATGTTATTCTGTCTTTCTTTTTCATATAAAATGATATAACCACTTCCCTTACGTCTCATTTTACTGAGACATTTGTATTGTTCGTAGTGTCAAGACTGATTTTTATTGCGTAGCACAAGCCAAGCCGAGCTGACAATTTTGTTTCCAAAAACAATCATCAAAATCCCTTTGACATTGCAGCAAATAAGTTCTAGAGTGATAACCATTCAGCTCTTGAGCGACTACAATGTCCCATAAAAGTGTTCAGTGGGATAAAGAGCTCGATAACAAAAGTTACGTGTTGTAAAACTACATATTGGCCGTATTAATTACCTGCATCAACTTGATTAACTTTTAAAATGGTAATTCTTTTCTACAATCATTTCATATCGTGGTACATGAAGTAAAAATATTTTTAAAAAGAACAGAAAGTTATAATCAGACCTCAGTTTAAAGTTATAAAGTTTTAAAATATTGCTGAGAAATTTGCGTATTTTCTGTCAAGCTGACAATTGTGCAAAACTACACATTGGCCGTATTAATTACTTGCATCAACTTGATTAACTTTTAAAAAGGTAATTCTTTTCTACAATCATTTCATATCGCGATACATGCAGAAAACATATTTAAAAAAAACAACAGAAAGTTGTAATCAGACCTCAGTTTAAAGTTATATATAGTTAAAAAATATAGCGGAGAAATTTGCGTATTTTCTGTCAAGCTGACAGTTGTGCAAATAGCAATCAACACAAAATAAAGCACCAACAAATTCTTTAAATAGTTTAAAGACAAAATATTTTCTTCCTTGAACTGAAAAAATCTGAGGTTCCATAATTTTATTGTAAAGATTAGTTTCCCGCCCAATAAAGCAAAGATAGCTAAAGCAATCAACCACAGAGTTCAGAGACACCCAAAATACAGATGAGCACCAGGATGTAATGAAACAAAAGAGAGTTCTGTACAGACAGCTTGGACTACAAGTGACAGCACTGGGCAAAAGCCCTTAGTTCAGGGACTGAGATATACTTGCAATTCATAAAAACAGAACATAAATATGAGACCCATAGATCTATGTTTTTTCAATGCAGTGACATCTTGAATCTGACTACTGCAGCTTAAATGCCTTATACTTATATTGGAGACAATCCCAAAGAATAGCCAATAAATATATATAAGGCAGCTTCTTAACATACAATTTTTTTTTAAAGCAATAATGAGATCACACAGACAAGTTTACACAGTTCCAAGTGGAATTTACAAATATTTCAGAGACAACATTGTTATTTCAAAACAGAAGAATTCCATTTTTTTTATACAAGGGCATTTCTAATTTGATCTACTTTCCTTGCCAGAATAAAAATGTCTAGTCAAACAAAGTGTAAAATAGGAAATGTCATGACACCACACTTTGGGCAGTCGTTCACGTTGGCTCACTGCCAATGTCCTAGATAAACCACAAACAGGAGACAATGTGGGGGATGTACACATGGATTATTTACAGACAGAAGGAGATTCGCTGTTCTCCGTGACGGGAGTTGGGTTTGTCGGGAATGTACACATAATACAAACCAAAGGCTTGTTGAATCATTTCTCTGAGTATTTCAGCCTTGATGTCAGACACACAAAACTGTAAAAAAAATGCCCTTTGTCGTAAATCATATATCACCCTGAGAGATTAAAGTGACACAGCACAATGACACACACAGTTTGTGTCAAGAGTTAGAGGACTGTAGTAGAAATGCCTTTTGTCGTAAATCATATTTCAGCCTGGATGTCAGACACACAAAGCTGTAGAGGAAATGCTCTTGCTCGTAAATCATATATCAGCCTTGATGTCAGACACACAAAGCTATAGAGGAAAGGCCTTTTGTCGTAAATCATTATCATGTATCACCCTGAGAAGTGGACACAGACTAAATTATAGTAGCTGTAAAAATAATGATTGCAAGGAACGAATGAGAACCAAGGATGCCACTGGGATTTTAGGAGTATAACTGAAAATGTACAAAGCTGCATTTGCGTAACAAAAAGACAGTTAACAGATACAACTAGTATAGTGGTGAAGCAGAAAACAAATGCGTAGAATAATAACAAATTTTCCACAGGAAAAATAACGGAAACGATAGATCCACCCCCCCCCCCCAAAAAAAATAAAAAAAATAATGGCATCCCTGGAGAATGCGTTCCATCAAATGCTTAAAGTATCATCAACAATGACAGTAAATTTAAAGCAATATTGTGGATAGATAGAGGAGTCGGATAAAGCAATATCGTGGGAAGATAGAGGAGTCGGATAAAGCAATATTGTGGGTAGATAGAGGAGTCGGATAAAGCAATATCGTGGGTAGATAGAGGAGTTGGATAAAGCAATATCGTGGGTAGATAGAGGCGTCGGATAAAGCAATATCGTGGGTAGATAGAGGCGTCGGATAAAGCAATATCGTGGGTAGATAGAGGAGTCGGATAAAGCAATATCGTGGGTAGATAGAGGCGTCGGATAAAGCAATATCGTGGGTAGATAGAGGCGTCGGATAAAGCAATATCGTGGGTAGATAGAGGCGTCGGATAAAGCAATATCGTGGGTAGATAGAGGAGTCGGATAAAGCAACATCGAGGGTAGATAGAGGCGTCGGATAAAGCAATATCGTGGGTAGATAGAGGCGTCGGATAAAGCAATATCGAGGGTAGATAGAGGAGTCGGATAAAGCAATATCGTGGGTAGATAGAGGCGTCGGATAAAGCAATATTGTGGATAGATAGAGGCGTCGGATAAAGCACAGCTGAAACAACAAGGGGGGTATGGCAGCAATACAATGTTTCCAGCACATTCACTATCACAAATGGGCACACGTAGGCAAAAATAAGTCATGGCAGAAATCTTCTCTGTCTCAGAAATACAAACACTACAGTTGTCTGCGACCACAGAGTGACTGAGCTTTACATCACATTAAAGAATGTTTTAAAATCTCAAAATAAATCGGAGCTACGTGAAAGCAGACACTTCAAGTTCCACTGTTCAAAAACAACTCCAACAGCACAAGAAACTAAAGGCACATACAATTTCCAGTAAAAAACCTCACAATTTGAGTTATAGTTTTTTTTTAAAGATCTTACTACATTTCCCTTGTGGGGCCCTAGAAAAGTTGTAACTGAAAATATTTTCCATCGTCATCAGCACAAGTGAGGAGAGCACTCTGCCTGCTTTGACTGTGCCTACCAGAGCCTACCTGGTCTCAGAAGGATACAACGCCCAAGTAGACAGAGATACTCCATGAACAACTTTCCTAAATTATGAGAATCAAACTCATTTCTCTTGTGTGCGACGGTGAAGAGCCAAATCATTCCACCACAGAAGCCAAAAATTTGGTCATATCAAAATGCTGCTATGAATTTTGGGTGCAATCCTAAAGATAAAAAAGATCAGCAAATTCTTCAGATAAAGTAAATTCTGAAAAAAAGTTCTACAACAAGCAATGTTGTAATAAATAAAATATCAATTTTGATTGCTCAAACAAATTAATCGGGTAGACATCTACTAAAAATCTTAGGTAAATAAAAACTTCACATCTGGAACATAAAAATCTTCAAGTTAAAAAATAAACAGCACCAGCTAGCAGCTCTCACTTCTGCCTCTTTCTTTGAGGGGAGACAATCCCTGCAGCTTTCTTGACGTGCTCCGGCAGGTCTGGAGCTCGCTGTTTGCCGGTCTTGTCATAGGGGCCGTGATACGTCTTGATGATGGTGAACTTGTCGATCACTTGCCCGTTCTGAGAGACACCAACCACAGGATGAGAACAGTTTGGGTCACAACACGTTGAAATCAGGCACTCAGCAATATTTGGGCAAATCAGAGTTTTTGCTATAAAATTGAAGCCTGTTCATTTGTTCAGCAAAATCCACACAGAAATGTGTGTCTAATTGATGTAATATAAAAGGTGTTAAGCCCAAAATGAAAAATTGCCCACAGATGGAAGTATGACGGTTGCTTTGATTTCATTACTATGGTCCACATTTTGGGAGGGGAGAGTTAGAGAGTAGAGTGACACAGCACAATGACACACACAGTTTGTGTCAGGAGTTAGAGATTAGAGTGACACAGCACAATAACTACAGCAAAGGTTTACTGATGAAACACTGAGATGTCATAAATACAGTAAGTACAATGGGTTTAATGCCCCTTTCAATATACAGTTTTAACAGGCAGGATTTCCAAATTTAACTACCATATCTGAAAGGATCCTGCCATATTTGGGAAAACTTGCTTTTTTTTTAAGCAGTGCTAACTTATCAAAATACAACTTCCCACACTGAAGAAAAGATTGTAAGTCATAGCTAATGTTTTCTTTCCTTTTCGACACAAGAGACAATTCAGGAGTCAGGCTGCTTGTTACCCTGCCTGGGGAACCAAACCCGTTGAGAGGGATCCAACAACTCCCATCTCTCACACACTTTACTTTACTTTACTTTACTTTACTTTACTTTACTTTACTTTACTTTACTTTTCTGATCCAGCGGCCATCTGGGTTCTAGCCCTTCGGTCTGTCGATATGGCAAAGAATATTTACAGGTTTTAATCAGCTGCGCTTTGTCGCTGTATAGAGTGTTTCCGATGTCTGGGGAGGCAGGACCTCCCGCTTACAAAAAGAAGAGCCGAATCACTACGCTACAGGTGCCAGTGAAATCAGACGAAATGAACTGTCGTTCGTCTATGATGCCTACAGTTTGATCATCAAGTGCCAGATCTGCGACAGACACCAGACGGAGATCACGGTTCTCCATTCATTCCTTTTTTCAAGTGCTCTAAAAAAAAGTTACATTAGCGGTATCTTGATCTTTCCTCGTCACCAATCAATTTACCAATTTACTGTTTCGGCTTTCCAAGTAAGTTGCTTTAGGTCTACCTCTGCTTCGTTTGCCTTCAGTAAATAAATGTCAACACTCTTTGTGACTTGACGTAGACTTTTAATAATCAAGCACAATGAAGACATACGTCAGACGATGCACGACTGGGACAGAAACGGAACAGAAATAAAGCAGATGAATACGATTGACAAATAAGGGAAATAATAATAATGGATACAAGGAACAGATACGAATGATGGCACATACATGTGGTCTTGTAGCTACTGAATGATATTCCTCTATTCAGTTTTGCCAGTGAGAAGATTAGAGGTGTTACTAGAGACTAGAGCTGCGGAGCTGGCCTACCATAGAAAACTGCATCTCCCCTCGACGCTTAACGGCAACAGAGGATGGAAAAGTAAAAAGTAAAGTAAAGTAAAAGTACCAGAGACTTTTATACAAAGGGGAGAAGGAAGAGAGAAGAAGACGACAGACTTCCCTCCTCGACAATCCCCCTCCAGGTTCTTACCTTGACGTCCGACACCTGCTCCAGGTACATGTGAGTCTTGTTGAGTACGTGCATGCGAGTGTAGCCGTAGTCCATGCTGTGGAAGGCCGACCAATCAGCCGGGTCCTTTATGAAACCAGACACATTTTCTCGACAACCCTGAGGACAAAACAACAGTACAGTCGACTCTGCTGTGTCGATCTCGCTTGAGATGATCTTGAGTTAAGTTGATGTTTTTCTAGGATCCCAGCACCTCTTTTTCTTTACAGATCCCAACTGTTAAGTTGATCTCCGGATAAGTTGATCTTTTTTTCACTCCCCCCAACGACATCAACTTAGACATCAACTCATCCACAGTTGGCTGTACATGGAAGACCTGCTAAAAGTTCACCAATTATGGCCTTAAAAAATTGTGACATTCCCCAATCTTGTGAGAACACTTGTTTCATTTAACCCAACCAAAGTGAAATGTGTTGTAAGTAAGAATACTCAGAGAGCCCGAAACTTTCAACTACGACCGAGTGATGTATCATCAGTCAAACAATTACTACATACTTCTGCATTGGCTACGTATGTTAATAATTCAAAAGACCTTTCACTGCCAACACCAAACTATTTGAGTATTACTCAGATAGTATTCATTATGTATAGAAAGTTTATATCAGCTACAGAAGTATGAATGGCTCAACGTCTGTGTATACTTGTTGACAAATCAAGAATCTAATCCCAAAAACAAAACATCACAAATTTTTAGTTTCAAACAAGTTGTAAACTCAAGGCAAAAAGCTGAAAGTTCAAACAATCAGAATAAAGGCACCAACGGGAGCTTTGTTTGTTTAGTACGGGGTTTTACGGCGCACGCAACTGCATAAGGTCATATGAGCGCGCAACGGGAGGTTTAAAAATGTATTCACAAAAGAATACAAGAAAATGGAAAAATCTGGGATTTTCAGGTATACACTGTGAATTTCTGGCAGACACTACAATCTGTGAGAGAGGATTCTGACTCAGGCCCCTAGCCTCAAGGCAGCAGTTTCCAGACCAAGCAACATTAACAGTTTGTTCCAATGCTCTATTGCAACAAAAACTTACAGCAGACCCAGTGATGATTTGAACGGGAGCCCTTGGGTTGGTGTACGGTGCGTCGTAACTTCCGTTCATCACCTGAGACATAAAGAAATACTTTCACATACGTAACATTTGATACCACTGAAAGGAAAAGGAAAGAGTCAGAATCATCTGACAAAAACTAAACACTAGCATGTGTGAACCAACATTCAGTATTTGTGCACTGTGTGACGAACTCACAATTTCTGAATAAAAATTTCTAAAAGCAATCCCACTTAAAACTGAATCTTTTTTTTTCAAAATGAAAAGAAACAGTAATAAATATTTATCACCTACGGAAGCTACAAATAGAAAACATATTCTCTTACTCTCAATCTCTGGCAAGCTGTTATCACTACAGTGGAACTCAGATTCAACGAGATCGGATTCAACGAGAACTCGGATTCAACGAGATGAGATAGATTCCCCGTTTTTTTTCTTTTTTAAAATCAATAAAAGTAACCCGGATTCAAAGAGCACTTAAATCAGCGAGCTCGGATTCAACGAGGTCGCTTCCAGGGTGAACAGCCCCCGCAGACATGGCTTCGTTCATTTTTTTCCCAGAACGAACTCTATCTGTTCCCGGAAACCATCCATTGCACCTGCATCATGAACCATTATTCACTTAGCCGATTGCATGCGACCAATCAGCGGCCTTTTTTCATACCAACACATGCGTTGTTGGCTCGCACACAAGTCTACTCTCGCATGTGTCGGAGTCGGATGGGCGGCCTGCACACGTGTGACTGTGTGTGTGTGTCGGGAAGGGGAGGGGGGGGAGGTGCACTAGCGATTCTGGCGTTGAACTTCGCAGATACAAACGCGTCACAGTCTTTTTTTCCCCTCCGCAACTGATCATTATTACAATGATAAGCTAGTCTTGACGTAGATCTTCGTAATGAATTGTGCGCTTGTCAATGAAATCATAAGTTGCTGTTATGCTAGGATCTACACAGCAACACAACTTTGTGGTAACCAATCGAGATGACACAGGAATGCATTTGAACGAATCCGTCTTTTTTGCACAGCTCATAATATGCAGGCATTTCAGGCACTACTACTTGTGACTTCTCTTTATAAATACATTACTTGCTCAGTGCCAGTAATTATCTACACAAAACCTCGTGTCTGCTATAACGAACACTCAGATTCAACGAGATTTTAGGTCAGGCCCGACGACCTCGTTGAATCCGAGTTCCACTGTATCAGTGGCATGCTGTTGGCTGTTGATGCATGCATTTCTTGTCCCCCCCCCACCCCCACCCCCCCTCCCCCATGTTATCACCAGAAGAGATCCCACACAACAGTTGTGCATGTTATCACCAGAAGAGCTCACCTTTCTATCGTAGACAGGCCAGAGACGCTCATAAGAATGCTCATGAGCCCAGATTGCCAGATCGACACCGTGGTCGTAGAGGACATCTTCCAAGCCAAACATGTGCAGAAAGGGGATCCCTTTCCTCAACTGAAGAAAACAGTAGAAAACATCAAAAGCATAAGTAACTCTTCAAACACATTATAGTCAATTCACAACTTGTTACACAATTTCCAACACTGTTGATTAAAAAAAGGTTTCTCGAAGCAGTCGAATAACAAGACGGAAATAATCTTTCAACGCTCAAAAGAGAACTCATAGACCTCAACTAACATTTCCCAATGCACCCACTAAAGCACACGTCACACAAACAATCTATCACAAATTTTACACCCGGGTTACTCAGAATCTACAAATGACTGGCGTGTTCTCTTCTTTAGATGAGATCAGAACACAACTTTACTTTACTTTACTTTTCCGATCCAGCGGCCATCTGGGTTCTAGCCCTTCGGCCTAATCAGAACACAACACAACAAGATTACTTCCACACAATATTTCTTGGAACAGATTAAACAGCATTATCCACATAACAACAACACGTGTGCCAAGTCAGTTCATGTTGGATCAAATATCAGGTAAATGAAACGCTAAAAATGCATTCATATGATCTTCAAAAGTCAGTATCATAATTGTTGGAGAAATACTATGTGAAAAAGTGGCAAACTTAGCAGACAGGGGGCTATATATCTGTCCCCATCGTTTTATGTAAAAAGAAATTCTGAAATTATGCAAACCGAGCCCAAAGATGTGAAATTATGCGATTCTGTTAATTTTTAAAAAGAATGATAAAGGAAAATAATCATAAATTATGCAAAGAATGATCAAATTTAGCTAAATTATGCGGGGTGCATAAAACCACAGGGACAGATATATGAACAGACATCAGGTGAGACAGGAGGCTATATATGAACAGACATCAGGTGAGACAGGAGGCTATATATGAACAGACATCTAGTGAGACACTTTATTCTTTCACCAGGGGAGGACGGCAAACTTGACCCACACAGAAGATGAAACCAGTGTGATTTCACAAATGTGGGACATATTACTACCTTAGAGTTCTACAAAGTTCTGTAAGACATTTTTGGCCGTTTTGAGTTACTGAGACCACGAGGTCAGAAACCAAATGTTCTATCTGCTCTATCAAAATCGTAAGATTATTTGGAGTCGTTATCAAGATATTCAAAGAATTGCATTTGAAAAAGCTTGACATTTTGTGAAACTCAAAATATTTTGAAAGCCAAATTTCTTAAAGCTAGGTAGGCTACTGAACAAAACAGATAAAACTTTGTAATTCTAGAGTAAGCAAATTTCTCTAAAAGATGCTGTACATTATGAAAGATCTACACATGAAATGAAGAGTCACAAGAGACTTTGGACGTTCCCCTACAATACTCTCATCTATGCACATATAAAACACTCTGTACGTTCCCCTACAATACTCTCATCTATACAAATATAAAACACTCTGTACGTTCCCCTACAATACTCTCATCTATACACATATCAAACACTGAACAAACAATCTATACACATATCAAACACTGAACAAATAATCTACACACATATCAAACACTCGGTACGTTCCCTTACAATACTCTCATCTATACACATATCTAACACTGAACAAACAATCTATACACATATCAAACACTGAAAAAACAATCTATACACATATCTAACACTGAACAAACAATCTATACACCTATCAAACACTCGGTACGTTCCCTTACAATACTTTCATGCTTGGTGCAGTCGTCCGTGCCTGTGCTCGAGCAGTACATCGGGCGGTGGCCAAACACCACAATCCAAGGTCGTTTGCTGCGATTTTCCGGACTGGCAGCTTCCTGGGAAACCAAAAAAAGACGGAAAATTTTAAAACTGACCAATGAAAAAAAAAATTTTTTTGCAATGAAACAGCAAGCAGCATCCAGATAGTGATCATCATTATAGACAAAACAAAATCTGTAACTTCTAGAAATTCCATTATCCTGTCATACATTAATTATTTTCGCACCACTGTCTGGTACAGTAGCATAACATCAGTGTTGACAGGGGATAGCACAGCAGTCAGCACAAACAGGGGGGGGGGGGGGGGGGGGGGGGTGTCATTTCATAACATGGGGACACCTTGGTTTAAGGTTTCAAAATGGAGAATGTAAAAAATACTCATATTTCCCCACAGACGATTTATAAAGTTATACTTTTTAATTCTTTAGACATTTTTCACAACAAAAAGAAGAAGCTCCTTCTTTCAAGTGTTTTACTTTTTAGTTCTATAGATATTTTTCTTTAAAAAAAAACAACAACCCAAGCATCTCTTGCCTTCAAGTCCTGCTTGAGCCACTCGTACTGCTGGTAGATCTGCATGGGCCCGTAGTACCAGAAGAAAAAAAACTCTGTAGACAAGGACACGAAATGTACCGGACCCATGTTGAAGCTGGGGAACAGACAAAGAGGATTGTTCTTGTTCTGGTACGTTTCTCTACACGGAGATGAAGTTCAATGCAAACTGAACAAAAAACCCCCAAACTTTTATTATGTAGAGATGACTAAAAACATTTTAGGGTATTATAATATTACAATATAAGGTTAAGGTTACATTTTGATGAAAAGACTGAGTGAGATAGTCCAATTCAAACACAAATTGCACCTTAGATAGACTTATGCAGACTCTTTGTGCCTCAACCAGTGATTTTGACCATGTGTATTGCATACGGCAGCGTGGGAACATAAGGGACCTTACGTTACAGCCTTATCATTTGAACACAATGCATTTGTTCTCCTTTACATATATATATGTTTGTACAGTTCAGGAAACCGAGAGATCTCATCAATGTGTCTCACTACATCTTAGTTTAGTTTTAGTAGAGGTTTTATGGCACTCGCAACTGCATTAGGTCATATGAGCGCCATCATTACATCTCATGACAGCAATCAATACAACTAGAAAAAAAGAGGGGTTAGGAGAAACCATCACAGAAATACTGTCTGTTAAGTAAAAACTATTTGTGACTCCCCCCCTCCTCAAGTGAAGAATTAACAAAAAGATACTAGAGGAATAAGAAGCAAGATTAGAAATAATCATTTACTACCCAAACAACAATAACGTTTTTGAAAAAAGAAACAAAACACAATTTAAAAAATCTGATCACCTGTAGTACATCTTCCCTTCATCTCCAGGCATGGTAAACCGGTGTCGGTAGTGAGAGAAGTTACTGAAATAGAAAATACACATGTCAAACACTGACTGAACAAACAATCTATAAACATATCAAACACTGAACAAACAATTTATACACACATATCAAACACTGACTGAACAAACAATCTATAAACATATCAAACACTGAACAAACAATTTATACACACATATCAAACACTGAACAAACAATCTATAAACATATCAAACACTGGATGAACAAACAATCTATGCACACATATCAAACACTGAACAAACAATCTATACACACATATCAAACACTGAACAAACAATCTATACACACATATCAAACACTGAACAAACGATTTATACACACATATCAAACACTGAACAAACAATCTATACACACATATCAAACACTGAACAAACGATTTATACACACATATCAAACACTGAACAAACAATCTATACACACATATCAAACACTGAACAAACAATCTATACACACATATCAAACACTGGATGAACAAACAATTTATATATCACTCTCACAGTCTATTTTCTGTCCATGTGCTATGCATTTACCACAGAGTTGTCAACACTTTCAATACACCACAGTTGTCAGTCATTGTGAATCTGTCAGTTCTTGAGACTACGACATTTTGTTGATTCACAAAAAATTCTCCATCATTTTATCATCTTTGCACTAACTTTAAAAGTTTTTAAAACAAAATTTGTCCTCCACCTGTCTGTTTGCCAGAAACACCAACATCAAATATCATCAAAAATCTCCACAGGCGTTGTGTGCAGCCAGGAACATAGACACAGACTGGGTATTGCTTTTGCTTTTATGATATTAATGACAAATTTTTAGTACGGTCTCACAGAGAGAAATTGCCCAATCATGCACGGTGGAGATAAATCTGAGTACAAATACACAAGTATACACACAAACATTATCTCTTTCTTCCCTCAACGCCAAACACACACACACACACACGCCACATACACACACACACACACACGTGCGCGCGCACACATGCACACACACCACACACACATATACGCGTGCGCGCGCGCACACACACACACACACGCCACATACACACACACACAACCACACACACACATACACACACCACACACACACACACACACACACACACACAAGCCACATGCATACACTCACACACACACACACATTTGCCCAATCATCCACAGCAGTAGTGAATAACCTGAGCACAAAAGCACATACATATCATACACACTACCGCCCTCCTGGCAGATTGTTAGAAGTCTCGTAAGTCATTTTGTCAGCACGCCTCACAAATCAAGACAAAATAGCGACACATTGACTAGAGCAAACTACACATGAGACAAGTGAACACGTTACTATCTCTCCTCGTGGTTCCCCGGGCACGTCATGTACGGCAGCTGGGACGCAAGAGGCTCAATCTGATTCATAAACTCGTCTCCAAGTTTTCCGTCCATCTGGAAGAATACACAGTACCTTTGAGTTTTGAGCCAAAATAACAAAAATAGAGAAAAGATATTGAAGGATTTATTTTTTCTTTCAAACAAAGAAATTTGAGTATCAATTTCTATAGCATCATGGAACCTTTTAAACTTACTGAAAAACAAATTGTATCTGTGGGAAGACAGAAGCAAAAACCCAAAACTGTATTCCTTATTCTTATAAACAAATGCACAAGTTATACATAATATGTCAATACACTAAAATAATGCCTGAAATCATTTATTATAGCTTTTTGTAAATAAAAAAATAAAAAAAATCCCCACTTTTTATCTTTCCAAGTACCTGTCTTTCTTGAAAATTATTTGGATTGTTTTCTGTAAAGATAAGTCATTGCAAAGACATGTTAGATAAATCTCTCCTTCTTTCCCCTCCTCTCAATCACACAGCACAAAATGATCAGCAGTTTCTCACCTCAAACATGTCGTAGCCCATGTCCCCTGAAACAGGAACACCAGGACTTCATTGAGGAGGAAAATGTCATGATGCAACAACATAATCAGTTTCCTCACTTTTTAAAAATTGATTCTAACCTGCTGTGCAGCATTCTTGAAAACTTTCACTTGCTCCTGGTAAAAAACATTGACAAAATACAAACGTACAAAAGTCTCATAATAGTACACACCATCTTCTCAACCTGACCCTGAAATCATTTTTCAACTTGATCTCGGCAAACAACACATCATTATCCAAAACTCAATACAACATTATCACAACTTTCCATGACAATTCCCAACACATTTAGGTCTAACATTTCAATCTCATTAGCAACAATCATATCTCTTCACAATATCCTAAAGCATTGAATATTTTTTTATAAAACCTTTTTTAATCAACTATATGAACATAGTAATTATCTAAAATAAATACCTAAAAATTGAGAGCATTTCAACAAAGCAAATTTTCGAAGACAAAAAATTACAAAAAAGCATTCAACTCAAATGAGGTGAAAGTCCAGCGGACATTGGCCCGGCAACAACCAGAACAACGCGTGAATCTCTCACCGACATGCAGCACTGCATCGTACATCCCTGCGAAGGCGTCAGCTTCCAGCCGAGGCAGCGAGCGAGCGTTCACGTTGCCCATGTCCCCATAAATTGCCAGCCGCGGACTCCAGTTCTGTCCTGCACGCATCGCTCGGAACATATGCTCGTCAGAAAACTCGTACTCATTTCCCACAATGTAGGCTGTCAGCAGGTAAGGGGAAAAAAAGGGGGGGGGGGAGGGGGGTTGAGAGGTGGGGGTGATGATGGTTGAAGTACTTTGAGTTTGAGTAATAAATTTTTCTTTTAAGTTCTTACACAAGTTGAAGCTGAATGCCTTACAAGAGACAACTAAAGCAATTTCAAAGGCGAAATGCTTGGTCCCTTCTCAAGATAGAGAGCAGAAAGCACAAACATTTCAGAAGAGACAAAACTTTAGACTTTTCTCTGATTCTTGACACTCAAACTTCAGAATCACCAAAGTGTGTAATCATTTAACGGAAGTATTGAAGTCCAATAAGTGAAAGGCACTTTGGAAAGAGCAAGGCAGCAGCTAGACAAATATGCCACAACACAATAGAATCAGTTATTCATCAATATTTGGGTATAAAGGTTATCAGTGTCATTTTACAGCTTGCTCATTTATATATATTGCTTTTGGTGAAACAATACCCATCTTATTCGAAAAAAAGTTGAGACATTTATGACTGAATAAGTTTGGGTCATCTGGTCTAAGAAGTAAAATTATCAAGAAAAAACATTAAAGTTTGGCCCAAAGCTTGAGTGTCCTTGGAAACTGAAAATTAACAATTTTTTCTGTCTTTGATCAACGTTTTTCACTAAAAATCCACCCAGTAATGTTCTTTTAAAAGGACATAAAGTTAACACCCCTCCATCCCTGAAAAAAATTCTATAAAAATGGCCAAACAAGTGGAAAATTGTTGGTTTCTTCCATTTCAATATTTGAAAATCAAACCCTCAACATCTGTGTGCAATGGCAAAGCATCTAACCGCTACACCACAGACAGTGGTGACCTGAACCTACGTTGTACTACATTGACCGACTCACTGTAAGTACTGTACTACGTTGACCTATTCACTATAAGTCTGGCCTGGGACAAGATCGTCCAGCAACACTGTACTACACTGACCTACTTACTGCAAGTACTGTACTACGTTGACCTACTTACTATAAGTCTGGCCTGGGACAAGATCGTCCAGCAACACTGTACTACACTGACCTACTCACTGTAAGTACAGCACTACGTTGACCTACTTACTGCAAGTACTGTACTACGTTGATCTACTTACTATAAGTCTGGCCTGGGACAAGATCGTCCAGCAACACTGTGCTCATGTACTGTGTCCTCTGCCAGATGCCTCCGTCCACAAAGGCCGTGCTGTTCCCGCGCTTTTCATGGGTCAGTTTCCCGTTTATGCCGTAACGCACAATGGACAATTTGGATCGGTCTGTTTGGCTCCACATTATCATCATTTGGTTGGGGGAGGCTGGAAAAGAGAGAGATATTTTTTTAAATTCCCCTGAATTTGTACAAATACAGTACCCAAAGAACAGAGATCAATTGGATATTGACATCTATTTCTTTTTATTCAGTCCAAAATTTATTTTCAAGCCTCAGGAAGAAGTTTGTGATGAATTTTAAGTTTTATGCTGCTTGACCAAATGGTAAAACATTGGGTGTCCAATGGCAAAAAAATAGAACCAGACCCGCCAACCACTTCATGAACAAAAATAAAAGTTTTCCTCAAAATCCTCCTAAATTTATATACAGTATAATCCACTTATATTGACAGCCGATGTATTGACATATTTTCCAATTATGAAATTTTTCCTTCAGTATCTTAATTAAACAATTCCTCTTATATAGACTTTTTTCAAGCCCATTCTGCTTTATCGACGAGCTTCCTGGGTACCTGGCGAAGCCCACGAACATAAGTGGGGGTGGGGGGGAAGCCACACTAACCCATTAGTTCTTCATTAAGTCCGCATACCCGCCAAGTAGCCTATTTGACACACCAGGCTTTAATAAGTCTGGTAGGGCCTACACAGTGTAGTCTCCAACACAGTACAGTGCCTCACAGAGGTAAGCGTCTCGCGCGCTGGGCATCACTTCCCTACCCCCACTCCCGATCGCCCACTCCCGCTCGCTCACTCCCCTTCCCCATCCCATTCTCAGTTATCTCAGTCTGTCCCTGTCAAGTGCCACAGCCAGCGACTCAGTGCCTCGCCTTTCTATTTTCCCCAGCAAGCGGTCGTAAACAGGCCTTACAAGGATGCTACAACAAAGTTTGCGCTGGGGTGTAGTGTGCGCCTCGTGTTGCTCGGTCTTTGGTACTGTAACTCTCCAAACCCCCCCCCCTCTGCCTCTTGGTTGTTTGTTTCACTGTGTTGTTGTGTAAGAATCAAGGGAAACAACCAGCTTAAAAATGTAGTGTTGTCTTTTTACCGCTGACCTCCCCTTGTTTTTTCCTCTTTAGATTTATATTTTTCATTTATCGACAATTTTGTATGTTGACTTCACTTCACAGAGCAAGTCGATATAAACAGATTCTACTGTAATTGAAATTTGGGAAAAATCCTCCC